TTGTGGGTAAGATTGAATAACAATCGAGGTAAATTATACTAGTTGTGGATTGAAGCCAATTGGTTTGGTTGTTGGTAGAGAAATGTACGTTGGACTGAGTCCGAAAAACACCAAATTGAAGATCCCTAGAGAGAGCTTTTGCAACATTTATTATTAGAGCTTCAAGGTGGTAGTTTTGGCTTGGAAAAGATACCAAAAAAGTCCAAAACATCAGCTGAAACAAGGCAGAAAATAGATCTAAGAAACTACCAGAAAAATTGCCCAAAAACCAGATCTGTTTGTGCAATTTTCAGACAATCCAAAAGGATTTTGGTAAAATGGAGACCATTGGTAGACTTTCAGGTGGTGGCAGTCCAGGTTGACCGGCGCGTGAGGCTCCCTGATGGCACTTGAGGCCCACGCTCAAAGAGGAGAAGCAAGGTGTGAGGGTATGTGGCATGTTTTTTGAAGGAGGTCTCTTGAGGAACTTTGTTCCTAATGTGATTTCTGACATTTTGGTGTTGTTAGTTTTTTGTTTCAGGTTGTATAGTAAAATTTGGACAGAGTTGTTCTTTTGACATTCGGGTTTCAATCATGAGTTGTTGGTTGTTGTAGTTTCTAGGGACCTTAGGATGAATAGTGGTGCTCCTATAGTGATAAATTCGTGTCTCTCATGATTTATGGAATCAGATTGGTCCGCTCTGTTATATTGGTTTATCTCAATTTAAATTTTAGCATTAGTGCGTCATCGTGTGGGGGTGACATCAGGTTTGTTGTTGCCGTGAAGGTATAACATTGCTTGTGCTAGAAATTTATGAGTTATTTGCCATATTTGAAGTGTTGTGTTTTGATTGCAAGTTAGTAGTTAACTTTGTGCTTTAACTGCATTGCATGAAAATTCGAACTTTTGTTTACATACATTTGTGTTGCATTGATTATCCTGTTAGAATTCCGAATGTGACCTGTTTGAACATTCCCTTGATCTAAGATCGTGAATCTTATGAAACCCTGAGAATTTAGAATGGTATATATTACGACCTTAGGATTACTTTGTGTGACCTATTTGCGCATTTGATTGTTCCGTTCTTCTCGAAATGTCTTCATACTTTGAAGTCGAAATTTTTAATAGGAAAGGAGATTTTTTAATTTGATAACAAAAGATGAAGGGTATTTTAGTTCAAAAAAAAGTTTTAAAAGCTATGGATGGCAAATTTCCTGCAAACTTAACAGAAGTACAAAAGGAAGAGTATGATGAACTTGCGTATACTTCAATTATTTTATACCCGTCAGACGCTGTTTTGAGAAAAGTTGGAAAACTCGATTCTACCAAAGAACTTTGGGAAAAGTTAGAGAACTTATATTTGCTTAAATCCACTCCTAATAAATTGTACTTGGTTGAAAGATTTTTCAGCTTTAAAATGAATCATTCAAAGGATCTTGACGACAATCTGAATGTCTTTAACAAATTAGTTCAAGACATTGTTGATAGTGATAGAAAAGTTCTCTGATACGTACAAGGCTATTATCTTGCTTAATTCCATGCCTGATTCATATAGAGAGGTAAAGAATGTAATTAAGTATAGTACGGACACCTTAACATCGGATGTTGTTATAGACTCACTTATGAGTAAGGGATGGAGATTAAGGCTGAAAAGGAGAATAAGAGGAGTGGCGAGTTACATATGATGAGGAGTAGGATGAAGTTTAAGTAATTAAATTTGGGTAGAACTCAAGACGAGAATAATTCGAGTAGTGACTTGGGTGATGAAGGTAGTAAGAAGAAGGGCAAGAGACGGGACAAGTCTAGTGGTAGACGGAATTATAGTTGTGGTAAGTTTGGATACTTTATTAGGGATTGTCCTAAGAAGAAAGATAAGCTAAAGGGTAAGATGAGAGGTGAGACGAATTTGGTTTTAGGGTCCAGTGATGACCCTAGTGATGTTTATTGAGAGTAAACCTAGTTACTGCATATGCATCTGTGTGTGATCATTTCCGCATGTGTATAACTACCTAATTTGTTGCAGATGATATGATGCATTTCGATGTGTTTGATATGTGTATTTACATGAATTTTGAGGTAATATGATTACTTGGTGTGATTGTTTGCATTCATAGTGGGTTAGGATGCATTAGCAGTGTGTTAAATGTCTTTTGGTGAGGTGGAGTATAGATGTCTAGGGGTACATTGTGGTTTGTACCACGAATGTGGAGTGTGACATTTTAATCACAAGTAGATATGTGATTAAATGTCTAGAATCATTTATCTATAAAGAGAGCCTGATCAGGTGGAGTGTGAGAGAGACACTTCTATTACTTTGGTTAGGTGGAGACCCATTATCCATGTAGGTTGGAAGAAGTGATGTGTTGTAAAGGATTATCCCAAGGACTTAGGATCTATTGTGGCTTACCAATTAGACATGAGTTGAATGATCAGTCTAGTGAGCATTGTGGACGATGAGAGGAGATATGTGTTCTCGAGGTGTGAGCAACACGGAATGAGATATGATAAGTGTGGTGAGATCTTATCGTAGGGTCATTTATGCATTTGTTGCATATGTGGTTGACCATTTGGTGTTAATCGGTGGTTCTATATGAACGTGTTTCTGAAGATCTATGGGTGTTAACCTATAATATATCGTCATCGCATATGTATTTGCTCTTGATTATTTACTATTGAATATTTGCTTCTACTTGGGTGTTCTTGATCTTAGCTTCGATGAGTACATGAAGTAGGTATGGTATGTGTTTCAGGTTAGAAATATGAGGTAAGGTCGGTGATCCAATTCTATTGGCTACTTTGATTATGCAAGTTCTAACTGTGTGTTTTGATTACTTGCGGATTCATTGGGCATCAAGGTGGAGATTCGTTGGATTTTTTGATACCCAATAAATTTCAGACTATGATGTTAACGTGGGTTAATGTATTTCATAGGTATAGGCAGATGAATAAAATAAGTCCAACAACCAAAATCATGAGCTCTACCCGATCCAATTGTATTTTATCTTGGATCGCTTGAATCTTGGCACATTCCTTTCTTTTTGGTCCAATGAAAAGCCTAACCTTAGAGTATATATAAGACTACAACCCTAGATATTTTCAAGTGTGATTTGTGAGAAAATAAGTGAAGATTCGGCTGCCCCTTTGGTGTGTCAGAAACAGCCCCTTTGAAGTGACAAAATTGGTTGATTACTTTATGTAATTGGTGGTTCATTCATAGCCTACCTTTGTGGCCACAAACCATCATCGTTTCTTGTCCTTTGTGGGTAAGATTGAATAGCAACGAAAGTGAATTATATTGGTTGTGGATCAGAGCCTATTGGTTTGGTTGTTGGTAGAGAAAGGTATATTGGACTGAGCCCGAAAAATATCGAATTGAAGATCCTTAGAGAGAGCTTTGCAACATGCAGAATGAATTTTCCTTCATTTCCCCTAAAGTTACAAGAAATGTATTCCTTGTATTTCATGAAATGCTTTTTCCTTTTTAACCTCTTTGCCACACAAAAATATCGTTACTTTGATTTTTGTTTATTGTTGTAATTGTCTTCCTACTTATTGTTGTCAAAATTATTTTTGGATATAGTAAATAAGTAACATAATGACGGGTAAAGTGTTGAATCCTCGAGTACTAGTTATTTACACATTTACTTTTATTAAAATAGCCTTATTTATAGAACATAAAAATTTTATTCTTTTGAGATTGATTTTGATTTTATCTTTTATCTACAAAAAATAAACAAACAATTATTGAAAGGAAAATATTCTGCTGAATGTAATTATGGACTTGATAAAAATGTAGATATCAGTGAACAGCCAAAAATTACGAAATTATAATAGTGATGGAAGGAAAAATATAAGTGCTAAAAGTTTGTTCACTTCGATATGTTTTTCCTTCATTTCTAGGCAAAGGAATAATTTTAACTTTTATGTTTCTTTTCCAGCTTCTGTAGTCTTTTAGGTTTAATAAAAATCCAAAATGTTACATCGACTTTCAACAGCATTTTTTTGTAGGTATAAAAACTTTTAATTTTCTTAAATGCATACTCGAACTTTAAATATATTTCTCGTCCATATCTAATTTAACTAGACATTTCTTATTGGTATCCGAACTTTCATTTTTCTATAATCCACACCCGACTTCTAAATATGTGCCCCATCCATACCTAATTTAACTGACCACTTCAATCCTACATGAAAATCGATAGTGTTGACTTCTTTAGCAACATATTGACTGATATTACCTCAAATTCTATGCATCACGCTCTTTGTTCAACAATTCCAATCCCACCCTAATCCATTGGTATTAATAATATTGTACTAATCATTCTTCTTTCCAAAATCAATGGTACCTTCGCTCAAAATGCTAGTTGTATATTGCCTTGTATCCTCTCATCCTCTTTCAACACTGATTAATCTCTAGCCTCATTTATTGATTGAGGGAAGAGTAGTAATTAGCTCCTTCTTTTATGTTTCTAGGACTTCTTTGTTCGAATAGGGACTCATGGTTTCAATGTAAACTTGGTTATTTTTTATTAAATAATACAATTGGAGCTTTTTGAACAAATTATTCATTACTTCTCAATTATTGTACACGAATCAATGAATTGTGTTCGCGTACTATTATTCCTTCTAACTTGTGTTTGCATCACAAATGAAAAAAAATAATTACATTGGACACGAATATCTTTAATGCATAGCGAAACTAGAATTTTTCCAAAGCTATGTAGTTTAGTAATGACTTGAAATATCATGGAGTACTCAGTATAACAAATAAGAGTAGCTCTCGAGTGTAACTATCTTCCATCGATTGCAGGCATCGAGAGTCCATTAGCTGAAAACTTTTCAGACTTGCCATTTTCAAGTTCATAAATTGTACTATTTCTGATGACAAATGCTGGACAGTTTGGCATTGGCAAAGGCATCATTTCATTTTTTTAACATGGATATAACATCCTCAATTGTAGGGCGATCAGTTGCACGATTTTCCAAGCATAAAAGACCAACATGAGTGCATCTTTTCAATTGATCTATACGACTGCATGAACTTTTCAGCATCGGATCCATGACCTTGATTGCAGCATTGTTACTCCAAAGTTCCCAAGCCTATGACAATTTTACACTAAATCTAAGTACAAAGAAAAATTGAAATGAGAAGAATCTAAAAATTGATCATAAGTTAACTTACATATTCTACTAGATTGAGAGGACCTTCTTCATTTTGGAAGCTATTGTTTTTTCGACCACTCACAATCTTAAGTACAAAAACTCCAAAACTATAGACATCTGATTTGATAGAGTAAATACCTTGCATCGCGTACTCAGGAGCCATATAACCACTGTGAAATCATGAAAGCATTAATTCGCTGGTAATGAGTCGCGAGCATAAATAATATATACATTAATAGCAGACACTATGAAAAAGAAATATTCTTCGTTACTTACTATGTTCCAGCACACTTATTTGTATTTGCTTCTATCAGATTCTGCTTGAAGATTTTTGCCATTCCAAAATCAGATATTTTGGGATTCATTTCCTCATCAAGTAATATGTTACTGGCTTTCAAATCCCCGTGAATTATCCGTAATCGCGAGTATTTGTGAAGATAGAGTAATCCCTTCAATAATGGTGAAACGTGTATCCCAGATTAAGAGCTCCCTCTTAGCTGGACCTGTCATGTACAATATTTGCTTAGTATCTCATTTTATTGAGGCTTATACCTTGACTTAGTGAGGCTTACGCGTCAAACCAACTAAAGTGTTCGCATGTTTGCCTTGCATTTTTCAAATAAACTTAAAGAAGATGGTGATCACATTATTAGTGATCATATAAAAAATTAGGAGTCATAATTTTGTTACATGATTCCTAATTTGAGGATTTATTATCTTCTATTTTCTCGATTTATTTTATGTTCGTTGCAAGTTAGACTTTTAATTTTGTTAATTAGTTTTATGATCAATTTTTTAAAGGGACGTTCATAATTTATTATGAACACATTTTTATATTCTTTTGAATTCTTTTATTGTTTTATGTTGAGGCTCACGCATCAAAGTGCCTCGAGGATTACGTCTCACTTCATGTAGATAAAACATCTGAGCACCTAATAAAGTCCTTTTAAACATTGCTATAAGTATATATTTGAACTAATAAGATGTAAAAATTAATTAATCTAAACAAATAAAGATAAAATTAGAATTGTCCTTATAATACCAGAAAATGCATATTTTGCTCACTCCAATTATGTTTCTGAACTCAAGGTATACAAAATCCATTTTAAAATATTCGTTTGTAAACAAAATTAACTCATTATTCTTCAATTGAAATGTCTCTTGATTGTTTATTTTTGTGTCAATCATAACATATTTTTGAAAAACCCGTCACTGCAAGTTGAAAATGTGTCGTAAGTAAATATCCTGTAGGAAATAGATGGTACTCATAAACGAGAAAGAAGTTCAAGCTTATGTTGTAAGTAAATATCCTGTAGTCATAGATTATCATCTTCATGGATGTAGAAACCCAATAGTTTGACAAGATTCACATGTTGGATTTTGGATATAAGTATTAGTTTAGTTTTGAACTCGAGCAATCCTTGAACTGACCTACGTGAGAGTACCTTACTGCAATTTCTCACCCTTCGATGGTTTTTCCCTGTAATGATATATAAACACATACTTTATTTATTATTAAATTAGTGGATGCTATCAAAAGGAGTGGCTATGACATATTTATATTGAAGCAACACGAATATATTTATCAAAACAACAATTAGTTGCAGATTGAACATGTATGGTAAGTGTTTATAAACAATTTAAATCATAAACAGAAAGAAATGAATGTTGAAAATGTAGGTAGTACTTGTGAGTCTTTCAAAATGTGTGGATAAAAGAAAAAAAAAAACTGAGCATTTACAAATAGTTTAGAAACTCAAACTAAACATAGGATAAAATTGATGTGTCCTAAGAAAGTAAGATTCAGGACAACGGTTAAGAAAGAGAAAAGGCAATAAGAGTATTTTTGCAGCAATGATCAATAAATGCCTTCTCAACTACTTTGATGCAAAAACGAGGTGCTATTTGAAGCTCCAAAGGGCTGATCCTATTCAAAAAACACATAAGATTCTCAATTCAAATTTACCTTATAAACAGGGCCAAAACCACCCTCGCCCAATTTGTTTGTCGACGAAAAGTTACCCGTAGCTCTAAGGATAGAGGAATACATAAACAGTCTAAGATGATGACCCTGTCCCCTATCACTTTCAACTGGATGTGTTTCAGTATATCCTTCTAGGGTCATCAGTTCACGTAATTCTTCCTTCTTCTTTTTACCTATGAGATGATCATTCAAAGCGTCAACATAAGAATGCCAATGAATATCATTAGGAGAATTAGAACTAGTAAAACTAGAAATATCAAATTAAGCATGCAATGGAGATACTAAAAATTCTCAGTGATATTTACAAAACACACCTTGTAGAGATATTGTTTTAACACTTCCACTTGTTATATATCGACTCTCCTCACTTCACTCTGCTCTGTTCCAACATCAGCCTATCTATTCCAATAAATATGTGTTCTACTCTATATGAGCGACATATTATAACAATTGCAATACTCACTACATAAAAAATGACAGTGCAACTACAACTCTTGAAATGAATCTTACTGTCTTTTGTAATCATATTTCCAATCATTCTGTTGAAGTGAAATTGTATGCATAAAAATATCAACATAATATCAAATATGAAACACATAGAACCTTCTTTATAATCTTCTCTTCTCCAGCTTGCAGATTTTTGTTATGGGTATTTTATTTGTATGGAATATGAAGAAGGTTTTTCAAAGCTACAAGTGATCAGAAAGATACCTTGTTTAATTTTTCGGATGATGAACCATACACAGCCTAACAAAAGAGCAACTACTGAAATTACCAAAGTAATGATTTCCCATGACTTCCATCCTGTCATTTATCATTTGATGATAGTAAACACATTGCTGAAAGAGAAATGTCTCTATGGGACGTCAAGAATTGAAGAAAAGGGAAGTACATTTATTGAACTGCATAGTGCTTTATATATCTTCAACATATTTAGTTCGAAGAAATTTCTTTTGCAAAAAATCAAAAATGAATGAAAAGAAGTTTATTAAATAAAACAAATGGATTATGAACACCAAACAGAGGAATTGAAGTAAGGATGTGTGCATATGTTGAAAAATTCTTGATTTGGTGATATGAACTTACTTTTGGTCGAAGACTCTGAAGCCTTTAGAACAAGAACGAATTGTTTAGGTTTAGAACCATCATAATTCTGTACAAAAGTCAAAATTTTCTCTTTCCAGAATGTACATCCACATTCATGACTGACCCTGGCAAAGCCTACACATTCACAGTCCTTCCAGCACTTCTCTCTGCAATCTTTCTCAGTAAGATTATAATCATCAACAGATTCTGCAATAGGCTCGCTCCCATTTCCATTAGCGAAATGCCCTGATTTCAAAACAAATATCTCGTTATGATTTCTGCAAATGGGCTGCTCCCATGATTCACAGCCTTTGTAAATGTTGTAACCATGACAAAGACTCACTTTTGCTATCATTGTCCCATTATAAGTGTCAAATATATCCCAGTTATAACTCAGCTGCCATCCAGAAAGAGGCCCATGGATAGCTGTGGGGTATGTTATACGGGAGTATCTGAAGTGATCCTCCACACCATTTGAAACATTGGTCAAATTGTAATTGAAATCTTCAAAATCGGGTTTAGGTATATTCTCAAATTCCTTGACATTCAATCTCAAGCTCTGATTAGTATAGTCTTTCAAGTTGCCACTGGTCCAATAAATCAGCCCTCGTCGTCGTACAATCAACATACGTGTGCCTGGATCCCATTCCAACGTAAAAGCTCCTGAAGCGGGATTGTCTTCGCCAAACCGTGATGTAAGATGCCAATTTCTTCCAGTCCTATGATTAACACCTAATTTCATCCCCGGAATAAGAGTATCAGTTGGGTAATCAAAGCTTTCCCACTACACCCTATCCGAAGAACCATTTATATTCATCTCTCTCACTCCGAAATTCCCCGAATTCAATAGTGTGGCTGTTATGTTTTTGCCATTTCCGCCTGCATAAAGCACAGTAGGATCTGATGTGTTGCTTGTTATAATAAGTTTTCCAGCACTATTTATTGTGAGAATACCAGAATCATCACTAATACAGTTTTCTCTGTTACAAAGCCACACTATATCGCTCCAACCTATATCGTTCCCACCTGTATCGTTCCCACTTGTATACGATATTCCTAAATAACTATCATGGGAATTGTTGGGCTTAAAGAATCTTAAAGTGAAAAACCCGTCAGCAGAAACTAAGAAAGCAGATGAATTTAGACGATCCCCAGGTTTAAGGGTGTCAACAGATGAAACTGGGGACACAAAACAAGAGAATATCAAAAGGAAGAATGATATGGTTAGGATTATAGCTTTCTCCATTTGGATATGAGCAATTGTTAAAGCCAATCATATAAATCAGTAAACACCAACAATAACTGAATAGTAAGTGGGACCATCTTCCCAATATCAATTATTCTACTATTTAAAGTCTTTCAAGTCTTCCTTCCTTTTTTATGGTGGGAATAATTTTACATATTTTCTATGTCGTTTTCAAGTTTCTAGCTTGTCTATATTTTTCGAGTCTTCCGAGTCTTTCCTTTGATTTTTTCAAAACACGTCCATTCTAATTTGCATACCTGATATTAATAAAAAAACACCTATTTCCAAAAATAGACACTCAATTTAGCAATAAAATAATTGGATCACTAACAGAACAATTTCCACACATCAAAAGCCATTTATTCTTCAACTTTTAAAGACAAGTTCAGTTGATAATTTGTACATACTAAAATAAAAGTGATTTCCATACTAAGAATAATGTTATGTAGTCTCACTAAGGTTGCAAGGGTTACACCCCCAGTGTAGGTGGCACTAACTAATTAGTTGAATAAAAGATGAAATTAAATGAGTCATTTAATTCTACCTATCAATTAATGTCACATTAGCGCTACCTAAATTGGGATTACAACCCCAATAAGGCTAAATAGCGTTACTCTATTTTATTAGGCATTTTGAAAAACGAAAAAAATAAATAAATGAAAAATTGACAAAAATTAAAACAAACAACTAAAAGCATATTTAACTTAAAATTACAACCATTTATGTAAATAACTATAACTGATCGTTAAGAGTTACAGTTTGCAAAGGAATTTTTCATTAGCTTTACTTATAGAAATAGATGGTGCAAAGTTCAAATTATTAATTCAATACAGTAATTCACAAAATTATGCTCGAACTAAGAATAATTGAATAGTAAATGGGACTATCCTTCCAATATTAATTAGAGTACTATAGAAAGTCTTTCAAGTCGTGTTCTTTTTATTTTGTCTTTTTCAAGTTTCTATCTTGTCCACTTTTTTGAGTCTTTCGAGTCGTTCTTTCGATTTTTCCAAAGTGCATTTTTTCGCTAAACCTTCCAAGGATGAATTTTCAAATTTTTCGGCCAATGGTAAAAAATTTGGCAACATATCAGCAATAATATCAATGGAAGTGATTTGTATTTCAAATACAGGAAAATGTCGCCCGTCAAGTCTGTTAGGCAATTTGTTGTCAAACGACCCCCCGAACTATGATATAACCTCGATTTTATTATCAATCGGCCTTGGTCATATGATTGATTAGTATATTGACACAATTATCGAGACAACACAATCCACATTCACATGGACCGTTCGAAGCAACCTATTGTTAATAGTGTTGCTCACGGTTCGTCTCATTTCCTTGGAAGGCTATGTTATTAATTTGAAGCCCATTATTTTTTGAATCGAGCCTTGTTTGGTCCACAAATTAACCCTAACCTAACTTACCTTGTTTGGATATTTACTTGGCTTATATTATTGTCTTTCTCTCGGCCTCCAGAGAGTATGCCCAATCTCTCTCTGTGAGACTTACCTCTCGGTTCTTCCATCTCTTCTTTGTGACCTTTGTGGTTAATTCTTAGTGGGCATATAATTGGACTTCATCTTCCAACCTATAGCAACCGGAAGTGGGGCGCCCTTGGTGGTGGTATTGGAGTTGTCTCAATCCTTGGTGGTGTCGACAAAATAGGTGAAACTGAGCCTGGTTTGAACTTGGTGTTTGCTGGAAATTGGCACTACAACTGGTATCAGAGCCTAAGTCACCTTCTCCGGCCAGAAAACCACCAAAAACGGCGGCGATGTGCATGATTTATATAGAGGACCGAACCTACAATCTCATTTTTCGGCCAAACCAGTAACTTTTCGACGAAACTGACCCCATACTCGGAACCAGCAGGCCGAGGCGCCCCTTCCAGTGCGGTGCGTGGTGGCAGCGGCGGCGAACTCCGGCGACGGCACATGACGGTGATTCCGGGCGAACTTCCTTCGACAGTTTGCTCATTTCAATCCCCTGAACGCACTAACATTGTTTATTTTCTATTTCAGGTTACACAAAAAAAGTTGGACAATTTTACCCCTGGTGGATCGACAGTTGAAACTGCATATATCTACTGAATTACTTTAGGCCAAGATTGCGGCCCTAAAGCAGTAGATTCGTATCTCTCTCGATTATACGGACTCAGACACGTCCGCTCTGGTAAATTGGCTTAACCCGTTAATTTTTTCAGCATTACCGCGTCACCGTGTGGAGGTGACAATAGGTTGGAGGTTGTCATTGCTTGGCAACCATTGCCTGTACTAGAATTAGGGTTACGTGCTCTTGATTGGTTTTTTGGTTGAGTATTTATTTTTGGGTTAAAATCAGTTTTTGTAATTTTTAGTGATCTAATTACTGTGGGACTAGTTATCTGCTAAACGTATTTTTTGCGAGAAAAGAAGTGATATGGTCCTCACCTGAGCGCAAACCTATCCCAGCTTTTATCTTTTGTTATTTTATACTTTAAAATTTATATCAGATTTCTTTTGAAAAAATAAATAAATGTGATGATAAATAAGCATATTTTAATTAGTCCTCACCTCGCCAGTCTTGGATCCCCAAAATGCCCGACGGAGTGGGGGACAGGGTAGGACCCCACCTTGTTGCAATCACTATTTAAAAGTAGTAGTTCAAGGTGGTATTGGAAGAATTTTGAATGGGGAATTCAGAATAACAAGAAAACTATTAAAACTACATTTAGCCTCCGCTTGTGTCTCATTTTTTAAAGAATGAGAATGAAAAATATAGTCGTTACGGACATCAAGCAAGAGATAAAAATTCAAATTTGGTGGCTTGATGTAATGGATAACAGTCATATTTTTCATTTTAATGAGAAAAGAATGAGAACCAAACTGGGGCTTAATAATATGATTTCATTTTCATCACATCAATTTGACTTGTCTAATTCGTATAAATAAATAGAAAAATATGTCGAACTTTTGAGGCATAAAAAAAAATTAAGATAAAAAATGTTTAGGGAATAATTAAAAGCAAATAATAGTAATAATAAGATAAATTATTTACCTTTTTGACCTAGTGACGTTGCTTCCACTTAATGCTCTTGCACACTTGCAAAATCTTCAGAAGCATGTGGCCTCCTTTCACTACAAAAATACTCAGCATCTAAAACAGAAATTTCTGTACCTGAAGCCCTAATTTGCATTGCTTAAGCGTTTTAACAATGGAATACATCCGTCGGTTAATTCAATGGTGTTATCCTTGTTGCTAATTTACCCACGGAGTTTTCAACCGTCAGTAAATTAGCAATAGAATATTCCGTCGCAACTCCATCGATAAATTAGCGACAAAATATTCAATCACAAATCACCAACAACTATTTCTGTAGCTAATTAGTAACAATGTTAGTGACAATTATTTTCATCGCAATTATCGACAGATTATTTTGGTCGATGATTAGCAACGAACTTTTGTCTATATTTCCGTTGCTAATTTGAATGAGAAAAAAAAATATTATTAATCTTTTCTTGGGAAGTTGATACGTTACAGTTAGTGATGGCAAGTTGCCCCATCCCGAAGGGTTGATGGACCCCGTCCCGTGAAAAAAAAAAAAAAAAAAAATAAATATATATATATTACNNNNAAAAAAAAAAAAAATATATATATATATATATTACAAAAGAATTAAAGCCTAAAGGGAAACTGGGATTCTATCATTCTGGGAAAGGCAGACTACAGGCGTGCCCTAATCTTTTCCACTTCTATTTTCTCTCCTCTCATCTCTGCCTCACAACCTCAATGCCACTCATAGCCAGTCTCACCGCACGCAGGGGAATTTAGATTTTCAGCCCTCAGGTGAGTTGGTTTCACTAGAAGAACTCAACTCTCTTCGAATAAATGAAATTCACGGCTTTAGCTGGGTATACTAATTTTTGGACCATTGTATTTCAGAATTTCTGCGCTCATGGGGGGTAGATTAATCGTTCAAATTCTTGTGAAAACCTCAACCGCCCTTTGATTATTATTTTTTTTGTTATGTTATGAGTTGAAAACCAAAGAGGATAGAATCTTCTATAATTTTTTTTTTCGTTGTGCAGTTATCATTTGTAACACCATTATTCGTTCTTTGTAGCAAGAAAAATCTCTTCTTCTCGTTCGCCC